CACTGGAGTTTCATCTTGCAAACGCAACGGGGCTCGATTTGTCAGTCCTTTGCCTCAGCTGTGTGCACCTTGGCGACAGGTACCGAGTTCAAGGCTGGCCGGCCTCACGTCAAAACCTCGTCTGACTCCACCTGGTTTCATGCTGTCGCGAGCGCCAACGCCTTAGGATTCGCCTGAAAGAAGTGGGCAAGTACGAAATAGCTAACTTCGACAGCCAAGCGAATAATACACATTTCCTGCTGCAGGGTTTTCTCTAAAGACAACATTCGTGCACACATGCCAAGCTTTGTTCGCTCTAATTTCTCTGATTTGCCACGCCTCCTGCTTCCAGTGAGCTGCAAGTTTGCCTGTTGGCGACACTTGCGTGAGAAGGAACTGACACTTGTCTTTGTTCAATTGCTCTCAAGCTTGTCCGTTGAAGCGGCATTACGGCGGCATCTAGCTGGCCAAACCTTCCAAGCCAGTCACTGCAAAAGGCCTAGTCGGGGTCAGAGCCTCTCTTTGCCTTTCTGTCTGTCTTGCATGGCTGGTGCCTCCCAAGTGCTCGGAAATCTGGAAGCAAGCCTGGCTCAGCCATGATTTGCAAGCGTCATCAGGGCTCCTATCATCAAGTTGATCGGCATCTTTTCATGGCGACTGCCGGAGTCTACCTGTCAAATAACAACTCTTGCGCAAACCCTTCAGTTCTGTGCGAATTCACTCTGCAAAAGGGGTGAGTCGGAGTGTGAGTCGACAAAGCATTTACAAGATAAATTTCCATTTCCGCAGAGAAACTTTTCTGTTGGATTAACAAGGCTGTCAGATTAATCCCACATGATGATTGCTGAGAAGCCTTGCTAGCAAATAGCCCAGAATGAGAGCAAACATCTCTAGCAAGTGGTGTTGCTCTCAAGACACTCCTCACGATCACTCACGCAGGTTCATGTCACAGCCTGCCGTACATCTGCGTCTTCACTCCGAGCCTCACTCACAGCAAACAGTGCCACACCTCAAGGGGCTGACTTCATGTCATTGAACATACAAGATCCATATCCCAGTCGTTGGGCAGGCAGGTGCGCTGTGCATGACAGCTGACAGCTTTACACCTGGGAAAGTCTCTTTTCAGCCAATGAACAGTTTCTCCCGTATTCCATGAAATAAGCAAGTCAACTCCATCGCTATGGCCAAAATGAGAATCGCAGTGCCGAACGGAAGCCACCCAAGGCTGAGGTGCCAAACCAAAGGCTCCAGCGCCTGCCTGCCCGTGCTGCAAATCGGGCGACCCTTTGGGCCCTTTGGGAAGAAACCTTTGATTTTGGAAAAGGAGCATGCCTCATGTTTGTGGGAGGGGGTTGGCCGGGATCAAGAAGGACCGCCTTCAAATCCTGACAACGATTCAGGGATGACCTTCCTTTTGTTGATAGTCAGGCTCAAAGCCAAGCAGTGCCTGCAAGATCCCTCTGTCCGTTTCGGGGTTGCAGGTTCAGCTTGCCAATTGCCGACTCGGCGTGTCGCATTGTCGTGTGTCGCGCTCATGATGTGGGTGCCACACTGTCATGTGCTGCACTGATGAAAAGTCCAAGTCTGGGAAGATTTGAATGCCTGAGAACTGTTGTGCCCATTGCATTGCAGAGTCTCATTACCGATGCATGGACGTCTTGTTTGTCATTCAGAGTGCAGGGTTAAGTCTCTGTCGATTTCTTTCGGGACCTTCGAACATGAGTCATCTGCAAGCTATCAACTGCTCCCACCTGGCCTGATGTCCCCACTGTGCTCGGCGACGGCTGCAGGATTGGCGGCTGCCAGGCAAAGCAAGACCAGCAAGCCTGGCTCACAGGGGAAGGACTGCGTTCACCGAAAGGCTCAATGCCCATTCCCTGGGAACACAGCCAGGGATCAGCAAGAGTTGGCCGGAAAAGTGGCATTCACATCTAGTTTTGCTGCATGCAAGAACCTTCTGGCAATGCAGCCTAATTTGATATTGGGACTGCTAGGAACAAGCATTTGATACGGGAGCGTCTCTTTTTTGGGGAGCCTTCTTTTGGATATTTTTGGAGACCCATGCACATCGAGGTCACCTGCGTGGATATCAGGGAACCATCATCCTGATGTTAACATCATCACATGGTTGATTCGGAAGTCTACCTGTGAAAACCCAAAAAGACCACCAACATTTTTTTTGGGTTCCCTAAACGGAGAACTATTTCGGGGGGGCCCACTAGAACAAGGCGAGCCACGCGAATGGGTTGCCCAGCAGTTGTTTCGCCTCGATGCCGGACCCTAGCATAGATGTCCGAACAGGCGACCAGCAGCTTGGGCAGGGCCTGCGCAAAATGCGAGCGTTGTTGCCCTGCCGGCTTGCAGGGGAGTAAAGCCCCGACGCGCAGTGAGCGCAGGAAAGCTTACAATTTACATTGGCCTCGTGCACTATCGGCTGCAGAATTCTGCCATGCAATACCAAGTGGGTACATCCACGTTTTCAGCCCCAAAATCCAGAATTGCAGCCGGAACCCAAAAATCCAAAAAGCCAAGGGGGCAGCCGGAACCCCAAAGTCTGCCCTTTGGCCATTCTTTCTGCAAGGAGCTTCACCAGATGATGCGGGGTGGGCGGCTTTTCTTGCGCAGACCCTTTCTATGCAATGCCGGTGTCCGACAAACCGACACACGTTCTCGACAATTGTAGTTTCATTTTCAAGGCCTTCGAATCCAAAATTCAAAGCAAGGAAGTGTCTCCTGAACACATTCAAGACAATGTAAGCACCTAAAGTCTCCATGACCCTTTGAAAATGGGGTCATTACCCAAAATAATGGTTGGTCATACAGCCATGTTTAAAGGGTCAGAAGGAGACTCTGGGTAGGCAGTTCCAAAAGGGGCCAAACCAGGAATCTTTTTCACTCGTTGCCTCCTCAATCAGCTCCATCGGCAAGATGTGCTGGGCCAGCATCCGTGCCCACACCTGACCCGACATCCAAAAAAAGAATTCCGTTGGCATCGTGTCTTCACAAATCGGATTATTCCACCAGCATAACTTTGACTTTGACTTTGCCCGACAGATTTCACTTTGCTCCCTCCAAATGGAAAAGCTGGTTTCGCACCAGCACGCACAGCGGAAAGCGCGCCTGCAACCACACTTTCCAGCCAGTCAAGCAAAACTTGTGATTTGGTTTTCTGTGGAACCTTTTGCACCTCCCCCCATGGGGGAGATAACCTGCTGCTCACTGAACACTTGGTTTGGGTGTGGGGCCAAATCTGAGCTTCCTACCTGCCAGGAAACGATTTGACCGATGGCAAATGATTCGGCACTAAATTATGGTTCCACATTGTGGCTCAAATGCAACAAACAACACGGCACACCACATACAGCAGGCAGCGCTGGACCAGCATGAATCTTGACAAGTTCTGAAGGGATTATGCGCCTGGTGTCTCTGTATTTCTATAGAACAAAGCAACCTATCCAGCCAACCCATCGCGATTCCAAATCCAAGTTATCCTTTACAGTTTGAACAAACGCCAACGAGAAAATTAGTAAGGGAAGGCAGCAAGAAGGGCCACCCCGCTTGGGAACAACAATCGCAATTCTCGGCAAGGAGAAGGCATATTTTTGATCCCGGCAACTTTGGTTCTTGGAATCACCCCGTCCGACACGTTCGTTCTTTCCCCAAAGAACCCGGGCAACCTGTGGAAGAGACTGAGTCTTCCCACCTCCAGCGATGCCCAGCGGACCTCAAACACAGGCATGATCAAACCCAAATCCACTGCTTCTCCACTCAAAGGGAAAGTCCTTGTTGGAAATTCATTAAGCGCAATTCCGAAGCAACGCTAAAGTCTTTCGATGTCTACCCTTCTGCCAAACTCCATGTCAGCGAACAGTGCGGGTGGTTTCAAAGAGAACCCTTCGGGAGCACCACCATTTGGCCGGCTTTTAGGTTTCAGACACGCCGTCAACACATGCGGAGCATGCCATCTGAGCGGGAGGCCCTTGGATGTCCATCGCCCATGAAGGACCTCAAGCATTCGGCTGCGCGATCCGAAATCTAGGCAAACTATCTTGGGTTGCCCATTCTCAGTGGGGCATCGAATACAAATAAATAGACGTGTCATTAAAACCACTGACCTTGTATCCTCAAGATGTCTGAAGACTAAGGAACAGGCTGAAAGCTGAACAACCAAGGCTGGCCCAGGAGAAAGAACCATCTGGCTCAGTCAATTTGTTTTCCCAGCCAGCACCAGAACCACGAGAAGGCCAACTGCCGGCGTTGTCCAGGAGTGTCAAAACAGGTCAGCCCAACTGTGCTGCATATTGGCTCCTTTTACCATGCCGCTAGATCTGACATACCGCGTTCATGAATCCGAGCAATGAGCAGGGCGGCGCAGGCCGCTGATGCCGCAGCATCATCTGCCTGTCAAACGGCAGGCCCTCCACCCAAGCTGATAGGTGGGCCGCGTTGGCAGGCAGCCTTGCAGAAGTCCATCATGAGTTTCAGGATGTAAGCTGAAGGGTGAAAGTTACAAATTCACCTTCGAGGATATACAGATACGTTTCCCAAATGCAGCCACACACACACACACACATGTTTCCCCCCACATCCGCTTTTCCGCCGCATCCTTGATTTTCCGCCGCTGTGTGCAGCGAGGGAGCTGCACTCCCGCGAAGCCGACCTGAAAACCTCAGCCACGTAGCCCGCAGCCATGGCTGGTTTTGCTCAAGCAAGGATTGATGTCTACGTCTAGAAACAGAACCGCACCCATCTTCTTTTTGGCGTCACCCGATGGACGAAGTGAGGAGCGCCCAAGCAGCCAACACGAAACACTTGGGCGCTTGGTCTAGGGGGACATGTGGCGCTGTCACAAGTTTAGCCCTTGCCGGCTGCAAACAACAAGCAGCCACCTCTGCTCACACATCTCAAGGCTGAGAATTGTGACGGGTCCAAATGCGTAAACACGCCAAAACCCAAGCATTTTGATCTGCGCACATGTCCGGCGACAAATCGCTAAGTCAGACTGGCACTCAGCTCGCGGCTACAAGCCCGATGGATCGAAGACCTGCTAAAACGGCCGGGCCGCGACAGCCGTGGGGCGGCCTTGACGTACTTGCGTTCTGACCAGAATGTGGACCAGGGTGGGCTGTGACTTTGGGATGTCTGACATCTCGGGCGGTCAAAACAAGGACCTGGGTTTTCAAAAATCCACAGCTGCCTCCATTGTTTCAAGGAGCCCGTAATTTGGACCGCCCAGAACAGTACAGCCTGAACACAATCCTTTCAGTGCGGCAGCTAGGCGCAAATTCTGAGCAACCGTTTCTAGGCACAGCATCTGGTTTTCTGGATAAAAGGGACCCCAAAATTGTTTCCGTGATCATTCTGTTTCCACAAAGCGTGGCCAAATGTTTCCCCCGCTTCGCTCGCACGCCTCGCCGGGCCGCAAGAGCTGCTGGCGCGGATTGTCGAGGGAGCCGAAGTTCTGGTAGTCCTGGCCTCGAGCGAACGAAGCCAACTGGAAGGCCGGTTGGAAGACCGGTTGGAAGACCTACCTCTTTACTGCATGTTTGGGGACTTTCCTCTTGCAAGCCTTTGGGAGCTATCTCATTTGGTTTGGGCAATGGGTAACGCATGTCCCGCCTGCAAATGACTGGCCCAAGCCGTCTCTCGCTTGACAGGACGGCTGGACGACCTGGAGATCGCCTGTGGTTTTTTAGTGGTTCCAAGCCATGATTTGGGTGGAACCGCTTTGAAATGGTCTTGCTCTTCTTCTAAATCTTTGCCTTAGCTTTTTCGGTAAGAAAGATCTCAGCATTACAAGCTTCTTTTTGGGGGGTTCCATCTGCAGATCTGCAGGGATCGGGGGGTATTGAATGGACCATCAGGAACTGAGCGGCTGCCTCTTGCCGATTCCCATCGCACAGCTTGGGTGTCCGAGCCGGCAAGGCCGATGACCAGGACTGCCTGGGACTCTCGGGCATCTTGGAATCACATGTCCGGATTCTCACGGACGAACAGCTCAGGATTTGCAGGCCCAAAGGAGATTGTAGACCTCTATGAAAAGCTCCAGAAGCCAGGATTCCACGAGCCAAAGGTCTCTCCTCGAGAGCATTCCACAAAGAAGGTCGCGGCAACATTCGCTGGAAAGATGCTTTTGGTTGCTACTGGACCCATCAAACGAACCAATGCTGACGAAACAAACAAACAAATCAGCCAAACTAAGCCAAGCAAAGCACCACCTACGCAATAGACACCACCACAACCCATCAGCCCAAGTGGATCCACCTTCCAGTGGTAGGCCATCATGAAGGCCGGTTGCAGCTTCATCCAGGCGCTGTGAAAGGAGCCTCACCGGTTCGATCCGTGTTCGGAGTTGGAAGCTCGGCTGCTTTTGGTCCACCTCAGGAAGTGTTTTAAAGAGAATCCCGCAGGGGATTGGGGGCTTCTTGATTTTTGTTGTCTTGCCTTTACTAGAACCTTCGATGTGCCTGTGTGCCTCGAGTCACACATGAGTGGCCAAAATATGCAGTATCAGGGCCGCGTTGGAAAACTTGACCGAACCTATGGCCAAACGTTTCCCCGGCGCAAAGGGAACCACCTAACAGCCAGGGGCTTTCCCCAAAGTTTCTGGAGACCCGGAAAAACAATCCCAAGGGAACCCAAACGGAGCCTCAGGAGCGAAAGGCCAGCGATTGTCTGGAAGACTTCTTCCGCTTACGGTGGCCTTTTGGGAGCTTCCAAATTGGAAGCTGTACACGTAGCTTTCACGTTGTCATTGATTCTTTCGGCTCAATTATCAGCAATCTGAGCAAGTTCCGCATTAAACAACAATGCCAAGTACCTCTGCGTGGGAATATGGGGCCAACTGAGGTGAAACATCTTCGGTCCCAGATTCCAACAAAAAGATCTGCACAAATTGCAGCGAAACATGCTTCATGTAGAATGGATTTGAATTCTCATGGCGTTGCCCTGTGTCCTCAATGTTTTCTCCCCAGGTGCCAGCTTTTGTTGGGATGGGTTCCATGTTGGAAAACCCTGAACGCAGAACTTGCAAATTCGCACATTTTCCTTAAAAACCGTCGAGTTCCAGCCCAAACCATTTGGTACAGGGAAACACAGGGGTACTTAGCGCCTGTACCCCAGCCCTCCAAGAACGCAAGGAGTATGGGCCGACTTCCACTGGATTGACGGTTTGCATCGATACAGGTCCGATTGATAGATTGGATGTGTAGAGTAGCTCGTTTGATTGATGCTTTCCAGCCAATGCTGAACCAGTGTGGTGGTGGTGGTGTCTAGTTTAAGGATTTGTATGATAAAATTGGAAGTTGCACACGTCGGTTTGCATGTTTGAATGCTCCTTCGCTCGTGTGAGCTTGGAGATGTGAGAAGTGTCCAAGGCTTGTTGACATCCTCTCCAAAGAAAATCATGGCCAGAAAAGCGAAAAGGCCCGATCAATCTGATAAGGGCTTTCAGATCGAGCTCTTCGCTCTTTTCTGTGTGAAGCAAGCGATCGGGATCCCCTTGTGTATTGGTTCACCCATTTTGTATCATATACATAAATATATAAAAAATAAACACATACATATTATATTTCCTTCTCTCTCTCTCTCTCTATATATGCTCACCCACCCCCCCCGCGCAGGGCCTACCTTTCTTCTTCAAATTGGACCAAACCCTCCGATTTTAAAGACAGGGGGTGTGAGCATATATACGCAAGAAGTGTGCTGTTGTTGCATAGTTTGTGTGGGTGACACGTCTATTAAGGAACAACAGCGAAGAGTTTATAAACTATGTCAAGGGTTTGACGGTTTCCCTGCAACAATGCAACACCTGGGCACCTGGGGCGAGGTTGATAAGTCTGGGGCGTGGGGAGGGGGGGGAAGTCTTTAACAAAGTTGGTTGAGTCACACCTCACTGCTGTCCAATCACCCCCCCCCCTCCCGCCCTTCCCTTTCAAGGATACCAGTTCCATGAAGACTTCCCAGAATGTTGCCTTGTTGCATGAAAATGCAAGGTTTATAAACTTTCCTACAAGTGAATAAACCTTCTGTAGGCTTAATGCGTAGCAAATGGATATTGTTGTTTGGGCAAAATGTTGTTTGGGAATTGAACAATCTTCGGCCCAAGAGAACACAATCTGAGCAATTTCTTCAAAACACTGCCTGTTTGTTGGATTTGGAATCTTTTGAAATGTCCATGCTGATGTTGGAATCTCCAAGCCTCACAATTTGGAGCTGGGAGTCCTCCAACATGTCCAAATTTGCATATTAAATAGAATTTAGTAAGCACATGGTTCACCACCATGCATAATTCACCATCATGTCTATATTTGATCAGAATTTGAACAGGAATACCTTTCCCAAATAAGGAAAATTGTCATTTAAGTAGAGTCTAGATATACTTTAATGCAGACAGAATTGAATTAGCCTTTGAACATAAAAAATCCATCCCCAAATACAACTTGAATTGGAACAGAACTCATTCCAATATCTTAAATGTGGCTAAACAAATAAAGGGCACATATCCCCAGACTCCCAAACTTGGTCTGGAGATGTGTTTGGCGTGTGCAGGTCTCAGAGCTTTCATTTTCAGGAGATTTCGTGCTTTTGGGTCTGTGCAGGTTGCAGAGGTCAAAGCTGCAAAAAACATCAGGTTTTCAATGTTTTTTCCCTGGTGTACTCAAAACCACTGTAAAAAACAGTGTTTTCAAACAAAGCCAGACTCGAACCTGAAAACAGATTCCATTTTTGCTTTGCTGAAATAAAGCAAACATTTGCTGTCATATAGAAGGTAACACCATAAACACTGTATTTTACAGTGTTTTCAGGCATCTGCAAGAACGAGGCACACGGAGTAGACTTGACACCTTCAACTAGAGAGGAAAGGTAGGCCCTGGGGGGAAACAACCAAAACGTGATTCTCACAAATGTTGTTCGCGTAGCGTTTGTCGCTTGCCCCCTAATTCTCACGGGGAACATAGCCTGGCTTCATAGAACTTTCATGTTCAATTCCTGTTTTCCAAGCACTTCTATGGTGATGAACAATACCTTGGCGCGCTTGCACGATTCAACCTCTTTTTTGTTCCATCCGTGTTGCTACACATTTCGATGAAAGTATACCAAATCCGACAAAAGTTCACCTGCCGTCCCCAGCAAGCTGTTCACGCACTAGATTTGTTCTGCTGCTGTCGCCACCACGATGTCGATCACCCCAGGTCACAACAGCCCCAGATTCAAGAATGGCAGCAAAAGCACGGGCAGTTGCTTGGATGCTCTGGACGTTCCTCAGTTGCTCTTGCACGTGGCTGCTGTCTCCGCCACATTTTGTATTACCCCAGGTCACAACAGCCCCAGATTCGAGAATGGCAGCAAAAGCGCCCTGAGTTGCTTGGATGCTCTGGACGTTCCTCAGCTGCTCTTGCACCTGGCTGCTGTTTCCGCCGTATTCAGGACGACCCCAGGTTACAACAGCCCCAGATTCAATAATTGCAGCAAAAGCACAATCACTTGCTTGGATGTGCTGGACGTTCTTCAGCTGCTCTTGCACCTCGCTGCTGTCTCCGCCCTTGTCTGCACGACCCCAGGTCACAACAGTCCCAGATTCAAGAAGGGCAGCAAACGCAGTGGCAGTTGCTTGGATGTGCTGGACGTTCCTGAGCTGCGCTTGCACCTGGCTGCTGTCTCCGCCGCCCTCTGCATGACCCCAGATAACAACAGCCCCAGATTCAAGAATCGCAGCAAAAGCTCCATAGGCAGTTGCTTGGATGTGCTGGACGTGACTCAGCTGCTCTTGCACCTGGCTGCTATCTCCGCCCAAGTTGGCACAACCCCAAGTCACAACAGCTCCAGATTCAAGAATGGCAGCAAAAACACAATGACTTGCTTGGATGTGCTTGACGGTCCTAAGTTGCTCTTGCACCTGACTGCTGTCTCCGCCGTAATCTGGATCACCCCAAGTCACAACAGCCCCGGATTCAAGAATTGCAGCAAAAGCACGGGCAGTTGCTTGGATTTGCTGGACGTTCCTGAGCTGCTCTTGCACCTGGCTGCTGTCTCCGCCGAATTCAGGACGACCCCAGGTCACAACAGCCCCAGATTCAAGAATTGCAGCAAAAGCCCCGTGGGCAGTTGCTTGGATGCGCTGGACGTTCTTCAGCTGCTCTTGCACCTCGCTGCTGTCTCCGCCGTATTCGGGACGACCCCAGGTCACAACAGCCCCAGATTCAAGAATTGCAGCAAAAGCACCGCCAGTTTCTTGGATTTGCTGGACATTCCTCAGCTGTTCTTGCACCTGGCTGCTGTCTCCGCCCCATTGTGAATGACCCCAGCTCACAACCTCCGTCCCGTGGCCATGCAAAGCAAACGCCGTTCCAGTGGCAGCCAGCTTGCCCAGCTGCACAACTGCATCCACTACATCCCCATCTCGCAAGCCAGCCTCACTCAGCGTGGCCATCACATCAAGCTGCCGGCCTTTCGCAGCGAGCTTCAAGCGGCGCTGGAAATGCTGCTGCGCTGCAGCCTTCAGCTCGCTGACGAACGTCGCCGGTGAGACTTCTACGGAGTAGCCATCTCCGCTGGGCAAGTGAACATCTACCTTCATGGCGCAGGAAAGGGTCTTCTGGATGATCCAAGCTTGGGTTTTTATGAAGATTGCAGTGCTAGGCTGCACTCAAACCATTCAAGAAGAACTCCATGGATCTTGAACCGTAGCGATTCGTTGGCGATGGCACGAATCCTTGTGCCGAACCTGACAAAAGGGGGATTGGGGCTTTGGCGAGTCACTCCGGATCCATAAAGGAGAGTACCAAGGTAAGGCTTGTGTTTGGTTGACCTTTTCAGCAACTTGGCAACTGTCTTGGTCGATCTTAAGCCGAGCTGCTTTTTGTTAGTGAATGGATAAAGTATGATGTTGCAAAAATAAAGTCAGAAACCCGTGTTTGTTCAATCTGAAAAGCAATCAAAACAAAGAGCATCTGCCATGACCTCAGGAATCCCTTGATAGAAACCTCCAACTTACATTTTGGCTCCAGCAAACATGGAGATAAAGGTTTTGTCGATCATGCTTGCAAAAATGCTCGAAGTGCATTTGCAACATACTTTCCCAAAGGCGCATCCAAGAGTCGGACCCAAAGGCCGACGGCCATTGGAAGCTGCGTCCCTTGGGGTTCAACAGGCCAACATTTCGTAGCATACCCCTCCCACGTGGTTCTTGGCGGGTGGGTGTTGTGTTCCGGGCTTTTCCACTTTCCGGTTGATACCAATGCATCCTTCAATTGGGACTGGTCAATTCCATGTGGGCAACTTACGTTCATCCAACTGTCGGACAGGTCCTGTAAAGCGCCTTCAGTGGGCTCGTTTGATCAGCTGTAGGCTGCTTTCTTGCATGCTGTTGGGTCAAACTCCACCTGATTCCTGCCTTAGTCGCAAAGCCGACGACCTTTGCAATGGCCGTAGTATTTTTGCCCACTGTGGCAAAACAATTTCTGGCGTGGCTCGAACTCATTCAGGGAACCGCTCTTGAAACCCTGCAAATCGCAGGCATCTGACAACATGAGCAGCTGAAAGAACAGCTCCAACATCTGGTCCAAACACTGGCGCCCATCTGCTGCCCAGAGCCTGAATCTCCCTGAGACCCCCTTTCCAGGGGCAGTTTCTAGCACCGACTCCAACAGCACCCACATAGATGGGCGAGTGAGCAAAATTGTGGGCCCTGATTTACTGGAGATCCGGGCTTATGAAGAAAGGGCCTGCTTGCGCAGGGAAAAACAACAGCAACACAGGTACCCTCAACAAAACGACGCCATGACTTCCGAATACATCGAGCGTCCACGCGTCTTCCCGTCGACCGATGGCGCGCCTAGGACTGCCACCGCACGGCGGCCCAGCAAGAGGTTCAGCACGGCCACCCGGCCCTCCTGGAGCAAGGCTTTGCGCCAATGCGAGTCGGGGAGGGGAAATGACCCCAATCTGTGATTGTTCTTTTCGGATGGCCCAAACACGTAAAAAACTTGAGAAACCATAACTTTAGATGACCACACATTCCCCAAAAAACGTGCATGGGCCGACTTTTGAAGGCTTTGTCTCAAAGCTTCGAGTGGGGGTTTCGTCTCACCAAGTCGACCTGTGGTCACCAAGAGTGTCTTGTGTCAAACTTCGAGATTATTCACATGAAAAGAATAAACTTTTGAGGCTTCCCCAGGAAATACATGGTTGACAAGTGGAAAGTGGGTTGCACCCTGGTGCTTGGACTCTCGGCATGTGCCCCCGCCAATACACATTCGGATGGCCTTGAGCTTTCCAGAGATCCGGCTTCAGCTTCTGAGGGCCGCAGCGTCTTTGCTTTGCCAACTCCACTGGGCATTTCGTGGTATGACGAGCGTATCCAACCCCACTCAAGTTAAGCTTTCAAACAGTACACTCCAATCCTCCCCGCCCCAATCCTCCCCGCCCCAATGCTCCGCCCCCCCCCCCCCCCAACCCGCCTGGTTTTACACCAATCAGCCCTTGATCAAGCAACTGAGGGCCGATTTTGGGGGACGCAACGCGGGCGGGGCTCTGTGCCAATCAGCCCCTGCCTCTGTCATGTTGACCTCGGCTTGCCTTGGTGCCATCCACACTGGGCGAAAATTTCACTTGTGGGTTAAACGGAAACTACCACTAACCACTAAAAGGCTAAAAAGCTAAGGAGATGGCTGGGAGCCACCAAGCACATACACCAGTGGACCAAACCCTTCGCCGAACTGTGAGACCAGGGCAACTCCTTTCAGCTCTTGAGTGGATTGGTCAAAAAGACAGTCTAAACCTTGCTGTTCCTCTGAAAAAAGTGGGTGCACCCCTCCACCCCAGAAACCCTCGCGCAAGTAGTAAAAGGCGGAACAGGGGAACCCACACAGGTATCACCTGTCTCCCCTTTTACCGGCAAGTTCGCCTTGAACAACTGGGCTTCCTGGACAACTTGGGGCGTCAGCCCACTGGGACACTGCGGTATGCAAATGTCGTACATCTTGGCCAAAGTCAGACCCTGCAGAAAGTCGGCACTGGACAGTCAGTTTTACAACCCTTGGTGGTAGCAACAAACTGCTGACTGGTTTTTGCAGCCCCCTGGTCAAAATGAACAGACCCCAAAGAAAGTAAAAAGGGTAAAAGCAGAACAGCGGTGAAGTCTGTTGGAATGCTCCTGAGCCTTGTGAGGAGCCCAAAGAAACGAGTCTGTGTGTATAGCGACCGGAATGGGATGATCCTATGAGCGTTCCTGTTTGTCTCAAAATCCCACTCAAACGATCCAATGAAACCAGCAGCAAAGAACCCTCATGAAACCAGGCAGAGTACATCTGCAAATTCCAGACTGACTCCATAACGTGAATCGCGGGATCCCAAGGAGGATCATGTGCCGTTTTGCCCCCGGATCGGTGAGCTCGCCACCTTTGGCCCCGAGGCTCCAGGCCAAAAGCGGGTGCTGAAGCGATCCAGTCCCAAGCGAACGTTGGAGGTGTAGTGCAGGCGAAGGCCTTGGTAGCCACACCTCGGAGAACGAACGTGACGCATCCATCAAATTCCCTTAGGATGACAACACATGATGAAATATGTATGACAGAAACTGCTTGCCGCGGTCGCGATTTCACTGGCCCGGACAAAAATAGATCATCCAGTCTATCCGTGCAAAACCAATCTCATCACAATGCAAAAGGAGGTGAATCCAAGACTCACCAGTCACCTCCAAGCCCAAAGCCCCGTGAAAGTCCAAGTGCATCAGCCATCAGCCAAGAAGCCACCTCTCCAAGAGCTGCAACGTCTCAGGGTCCTTCCGGAAAAGAAGAGCCGGCCAACGATCTCTGCATAATTTTAACACATTGTTTCTCTCTTTGTGTAGGATTTCGTCCGTTCATTCTTGCTTTCTGCTCATATTTTGCATCCCTTGTTTCCGCTTGTCTTGCTTTATTATTGGTTTGACTGTTGTTGGACTTGTGCTTCTTTTGCTTGCTTGCTTTCGTTGCTTTTGTTTCTCACATTGTCACACAAAACAACAACCACAACCACAACCACAACCACAACCACAACCACAACCACAACAACCACAACCACAACAACCACAACCACAACCGCAACCGCAACCGCAACCGCAACCGCAACCGCAACCGCAACCAGCAACAGCAACAGCAACAGCAACAGCAACAGCAACAGCAACAGCAACAGCAACAGCAACAGCAACAGCAACAGCAACAGCAACAGCAACAGCAACAGCAACAGCAACAGCAACAGCAACAGCAACAGCAACAGCAACAGCAACAGCAACAGCAACAACAACAACAACAACAACAACAACAACAACAACAACAACACAACAAGCAACAACAACAACAACAACAACAACAACAACAACAACAACAACAACAACAACAACAACAACAACAACAACAACAACAACAACAACAACAACAACAACAACAAACCAACGATCAAACACATGGGGACTTTTTGCGAAAGCAGGAAGCGGTGTTTCACTCGTCTCCAAAAGCAGCAAGGGCTGTGGTCCTCGGTCTGCAGCAGCACATCTTTGATGCCGTGCTCCTGCGCATGCGAAGCGTGGATCGAGGTGTTCCCATCATCCGAATCCACGGGGCATATGCTGAAAAAGGAAGGTGCTACGCTGAGGGCAAACGGCAGCAAACTGGGCCCTGCTAAACGTCAACTGCTAGTTGAAGCACACCCAGCAACAAGGGCCATGCCAGTTGTTTTCAGACAAGCACCAATTTATTTCAGCCAGCCCGGCTGCAGTCTGCGCCGCATTCTGGATGGCCCCAGATTCAAGAAGGGCAGCAAAAGCACCGCCAGTTGCTTGGATACGGTGGACATTCCTGAGCTGCTCTGGGACTTGGCTGCCGTCCCCACCGTATTTCGGATCTCCCAGGTACCAAGCGAACGCCCCACAGGTAGCAGCCAGTTTGCCAACCACGTCCCCATCTCGCAAGCCTGGCCTCTGTCAGAGTGGCTGTCAACTCGAGCTGCTGGCCTCTGGCAGTGAGCCTCACGCGGCGTTTGAAGTGCTTCTGCGCTGTAGCCTTCAAATCGCTGATGGGCGTTGCTGATGAAACTTCTACGGAGCAACCATCTCCACTGGGCAAGTAAACATTAGCTTTACCTCTACCCCAAAATGGGATTGACCAAAACGGTTTTGAGCACCACAGCCATTTCAGCTTCGTGGGCGATGCCTGAGGCCCGACGGCTCGGGACTCGCGACTCGCGAGGCGCGAGTCCTTGAAAGCTCTGAGCTGATTGGTGAACTCCTGCAGCTCCACGTGGGGCACCTCCACGCCTAAGCGACTCGGATCGGGGCTCGATCGGGGCGAGCGGGGAGGGGCTGAGGCTTGGGGCGATCGGGGCCAGAAGATCCAAGTTCCAAAAGGGGGGGGTGCTCCACGAAATTATCTTTTTCTTGGCCTGGGGGTTTCCTGATGTCTCAGAGTTGCAGCGAAGCTGGGTCTCAGGAAAACCGAAGAACGCCAATGCAGCGGGAGCATGTTGCCCCACTAAGCCTTTCCCCAAACTGCCGGCTTCGATGGAAATCTCCGTCCGACCTCGACTCGGAAACCTTGGAGGTAAGGGGTTCCTGTCCACTCCTCACTTCGTTACTTCAGTCGATGGAACAGCCGGACCACGGGGATGGTGCCCGAAGTGAGGTTCCCCTACAAAAAATCCCCCAAATCCAAGCGCTTCTTTCTTCCTGGGATAACTTTATTGGGAACCTTTCTCTTGCTAACTCTTGGCATGCTAGCAAACAACATGCTCCTTGCAGCCTCCAACGAAAAAATGAACAGAACAAGAGAAGGAGCACGCACCCTGCCAAAAAGTGCGGGACGGTTTGCTGACCATTTTGCATTTTGGAGTTCTCCTGTACAGAGGCAAGTCCATTTAGAGGTTTGGAGCTTCTTTAGCTTAGTCTAGCGTTCCGTGCAAGGCAGTGCGAGCCCTGGCACTTGCACATTTGCTCTTCCAACTTTGCAAACGTAAGATGGCAATCGATCTCAGACAGCAACTACAAAGACGCCCCGTCAACTGCAACGAGGACATGCTCTCATGTGGTCATGTGTTTGAGGTCTGGCTCCGCGAGCTGATCTTTAGCTGCCCCGCTTTTGCGTGAAAGATAGCAACACGGGTGCCCGAAAGAACCTGGCCGCGACACGGTGCAACAAGTTCAGCCAAGGAATCCCTTTTCTTTGCCGATTCCCAAGCACATTCCAAGGAGAGAACCAGGTAGAGCCACCTGCTAAAAGGGTTCCTTGGGAATCACTCTTTTGATCCGCAGCTCAAACAAATGGATGTGTTTTCTTTGGAGTATGACAGCATGACCATTTTTGAGTTTCTTTTCCAAAGCCAAGAGGAGCCATTTCGAAGAATGTTCACCAAAACCTGGATGCTCAAAGCAGGGGTTGATGAAAAGGTCCTTTACATGGGATGACCATTGGGCAAAACCGCTAAAATAATTTGATATTTTAACCGCATGGGAACAGTGACGCATGGTCAAAAAAGAGCTGTGGGTGCCCAAAAGGGGAATATTGATCAACCCCCAACTTCAGCTTCCCTCCAATTGGTGGCTTGGATTGGTTTGGCCCTCAAGAACCATTTGAAGTCAAGTGCCCGGCTCTTGTTGCCACGCCGTACAGCCGCCACCTTAAAAAAGATCCGCGGGTTCTCCGAGGTTCGGAGTGGTGGACTTACCCCTTTCTCAGTTGGTAGGGGGCAACCAAGGAACAACGCCAACTTAGGGGCACAAATTTAGAACCGCTTTTTTTTGTTGTTGAGTGGATTGGGAAAGGAACATTATTTCCTGGGACTTCTTGGCTCCAATTCCAGTGACCAAGGTCTAGAAACTAAGCGCTGACTTAGGACTGTGGGTATTGAAAACTAAAAAACCCTTCAGGGAACTTTGTAAAGACGAGTTCCCCCGGGCTTTCCGTAGCCATGTGGGTAAAACCCGAACCCTTTTGTTTCAATCACTTGGTTCCCTGGTTTGGCTCTGGCCATTGTGAGACCCCAACTTGTCAGTTGTAAAGAGGGATGGCATGTCCCGAAGGAACCCGAAGGAACGCTTCGGCACGGGCTCCGGGAAAAGAGGCCTTGATTCGAAAGCGAAGCGTGCCAAAAAGGTCGAAGTAAGGACATCGCACGGGATGGGAGGGCAAGGGTTTATGCCAATTCCTCTTTTTCCAGTTTTTCCAGCGATGGGACTACAAATGGGAGAGCTAATTTTGTGGCAGGGAAGCCCGGCCAAGTTGGAAACACCAAGCAACCGCGTGAGGAGATCCCCCCCAAAGAAGGGGTCTACAAAAAAATGGGGCACTGAGACAGCTGGCAAGCGACAGACATGATGCGGATGAGCCCAAGAAACGGTTTTGTTGCGTCTGGTTGCTTCTTCGTCTTCTTCTTCTTCTTCTTCTTCTTCTTCTTCTTTGGAGTGCGCTTTGTGCCGTGATTGTCATCTGACTTTTTTTTCTCCATTATTTCTTTTTCCTGCGCCTTTTTTCGTTGGACCCGCCCGGCTCGACATTACGAGCAACCAGCTTGGCGTAATGCTCCTCTCTCTCTGTTTACGCCCTCGGTGGATCGGCCGCCGGCTGACCAGTGCTCCAAACCTGCACTAGCAGAGTGAGCGAGGCAGAGGGTGAGGCGAACGTCTGTCCTCCAACCGCCGCTTGCTCTCCGGGTTCGGCCGTCCGGGTACACGTGGGCTCCGACTCTCCGAACTTCAGAGGCCGATTTCAACTTTGAACAAGGAACGGAACAGCCTCATGCGCGCAACGGGCAAAACAACTACCTCAACCAAAACACGCTAAGATAGGAGCAACACGGCAAGCGCCTATTTGCGTCCTCTGGCGCACAGTGGCTCTCCGCACAAAGACCTTGCGTCCTCTGATGCACATATGTAACATGAGTCGCACTGACCGCCGTACTGACCCATGTTTTCTTGTTCGTTTGTCTTGTGCGCTTCCTTTTTGCATGACATGTTGTGCCTGCTCGGCGGCCTTTCGGGCTTCACCAGGTTTCACCAGGTTTCACCAGCCACCCACTGAGCTCCGGGCCACAAAGGGCCGCTGGTGCAGCCGCCTTGGAGACTGAATTTTCGGGCTGGGCTTCTGCTTCTCGCTAGGGCGACCCCTCCCCTCAGCTTCTCATTTTTTGAAAATAGGTGTTTGCCCAGCTAGTTGGCGTTCAAAAGGTTACCCCGAGCTGCAAGGATTACAGGAGCTTGACCTGGGAGCCCCGAAAGATAAGTCTAAGGGGTGGATGGCTAAATATTTGGCGCAGAGAAACCTCGAAGTCCCTAATCTTAATTTGAGTTCCGTGATATAGCAAGAGGAGCTACTGGCATCTGGCAGAATTACTGCTTGATGATGCCGCCAGAAACTGATAGGCAAAGGCATTCCCAAAACCGATGCCCAATCTGCCAAGCCGATAGTGGCATACCGGAACGAGCCAATACCCAACTCGCAACATCACCCCAGGAAAAATGCATCTTACCCAAAGTGCTCCTTAAACCACTGATGAAGGAACATGCAGTGACCCTGTTTACCCGCGAACCGCGTGAGTTTGCAAGTGGTGACTCGACTCTCCTCACAGCTTTCGAACCTTACCGAAAAATTGGGCTGCCCTCAGATCTCCCGCTAAAAGTTCAACTTTTAGCGGGTTACATGCAAACTACCACTAAACACTAAAAGGCTAAAAGGCGAAAGGGATGGCTGGGAGCCACCAAGTTTTGCCCCAAATGGCCGTGGCTCAAAATCTAACAGGAGGGGTTACGCAGGTTTTGGTCCATGTTTCCACTTACCAGGGTTCCATTTTGGTGCCGTTATTTTGAGCCACCGCCAAATCTCTTTACAACGAGCCATCCACAAGCCATCGCTTTCGCGTCTCGGTGCGGCGCTCCCAGAAGCCTTTCGCGGCCTCCTGGAGGCGAATTCGGATTGCGATGGGTGCCATAGGGAAGAAACAGAATGGGAATAAAACCTGGGAAATTCCCCAGGGAAGCATAGTCTTTTTTTTTTTTTCAAATTGGGGTCATTCCATTTCTCATTCCCTTATTTCCTGCTGAGCACCAGCAAGATGATCCTGCGCCTTCAATCCCCCATGCTTTGCCTTAACTCGGCTGCACTTATTTGAAAGGCTGAAAGCGCGCCAACTGGGTCTCCTCTTTGAGGGCATCTCTTTTTCGGGTCGTTTGAAGTGAAACGCGAAGGAACACCACAACTTGGGAGGGGTCCAACCAAACCCTGCCAAGTTTGACATCCATGACCTTTTTCGCTTGGAATCACTGCAGCCCATCAAACCCAGGTAGCAAACGGACGGCAAACCGCCGCGCCGTACGGGCACCATCTGCCAAAGAACTCCCAAAAACAGTGTTTCACAAAGGGGCGACACCCCAAAAACGTGGCCTTGTCCAGACCTCCGGGCTGCGATCCGACGCTTGAAACAACGCGAGAGTTGGCAAGTTGTCAGTCGCTGGATGTTTCTTAGGGATCCCACGCAGCTCAGATCCGAGGCAAGAGCTCTGTTTGCAACACGCCAGCTCCGCTTGGATGTTTCTTTGCAAGGGATCTCGGTGCTCGAGTCGATCTCCCGATTCACAGATTGGCCCGGACAGATTCGCTGGAAATCCGATCCCCTGCGCGCAGCAGCCGGCCCGGTTGTTCGATTTTGACGGATGTGGCCAATGCTCGGGTCAGCGTCGCAAGGAACCGAAGCAAAGCCAACTGCTTCAGTTCTTGGAGTGCGACCTGCTTTTTTGCAACCGGTTGTCGCACAAGAAATGGGACTTGCCCAATTCTAGCGTTGAATCTCAAAGGAAAACCAAGAAAAAAACGAAGGCCCGTTGACAGGACTACTGGACCATGACTCATAGCGCTTGGTTCGACAGGAATCGTGTTCCGGTTCATCATGGAAGGTTTACCATGATTAGAGTTAGGCCCAGTTGTAGAATGTATATTTTATTGTTTGCTTCACTTTGAGTCACTGGTAAAATGTAGAGTGTATCCTAAGTCTACCCCAGTTACAGGGGGTTTTCTTGGTTGCGATTAAAACCACTCCCTGCGAGGATCAGCTGGTTCAGAGGAAACGCGATTCCCGGACCAAAGCAGTCCTTGAAACTTCTGCCCTGACTTAGAGCACTGCGCAACAAATCTGCTTGTTCTAGGTCCACCAGTAGAGAGGTTAGAATAAGGGTACCCTTTTTTCTGTAGTCTATTTTAGCAGGGGACCCTCCCCCAAAAAAGGGCACTACTGGGGGACCTAGTGCGCAACAACACGAAGAGCACGAAGGACACCAAGGCAAAACGGATCAGGCAGGCTACGTCAAGGCTCACAGTCTCCGGTGAAAGCTCTCACTTGCCCAGCCCGGACCAGCTCTTCACCGACTGGCATGCGGGGATGGAGGTCAGGTACTTGGATGCGTGTCTAAACTAGGCGATCCCCAAAATGGGTGGCTTCCCTTCGAACCTCAAAAGTCAACACACACCCACACCGAAACACACCCAAGTAGTACGTGGGTTAGTTGTAAGTGGGACAGCTTTGGTTGATACACATTCAGCTCTCGGTTCCGTCAGTTCCCGAAAAAACGCCCTGCTAAGTCAATGGCAAGGAACATCTGCGGTCTGGTGGCTTCAGTTTGACCACCCAAATTGATTCCATGGGAGCTAAATGTTCCACGGTCCGCTTGCGAGAAAGATTCACAGTTTCTCGGAGGAACTCGGCAAAGGGACACCTTTGGGAAGCAGTGACTCCCCTATTTGGCAGTGACTCGGCCAAGAACTCGCATGGATGAAAGACACGGGCACAAGCAACCAACCAGAAAGCGGACCTTGGAGATTGACGGGCTCCAGAATGCGGTTCCCGTAGTGGACATAGGATTTGCAAGTTGCCTGGGTTTGTGAGACATTGTACGAGTCCCGTTTTTGGGTTGATTCTCGTGGTGAGCCCACAAAAAAAAACCCTAAAAAGCTTGGCAAATTACTACACATCCCAACAGGGAAATAAGGAAATGTCTGAAAGTACCTTCATCAGAGGTCAGCTCGTTTCACACCGCGGCTGATTTGTAAATTATTTGTCGTGTCCCCTTTGGCAGTTGGGCACCCCTCATGCCCCACAGGTGCTCTTCACCCCAGTTTTTTCTTCTCATTTTTTCCTTCATGTCTATTTCCTTGAATTTGTCTTTGCTGTGCCTCAAACCCCATGTGACGTCTTGGCCTTCGGTTTACGTGACGCTTGGCCCGTCAATTTTTTCGCATCTCGAATCCGTGGGCTTTTCAGCTCGCCTGCCACAGCTTCTTCACATCCTCCTTGGCGCCCTCCGTGATGCTCAGCGGCTTCTCCTAGCTTCAGCTCCACAAAGTTTTCCCGAGTTCCACGGAAAACAAAAGGCCGAGGGCTGGCCCTTTTTTCGGACTGCGAAGGAACCTCAAGGGAGAAGGGGCTCCACTGGGAGTGGGGGGGGGGTCTGAAAGCGAGCTGGCAACAGTGCCAAGATTTAGATGTCTTCGCCGGGCTTTTGAAGCAACCAAACATGACCAATTTGAGCTATTGGGATTTCATTCTTCTCCGTTTCTCGCAGGGAAGGCGTCTTTCTCAGTGCGATCACATGGGTCTTCTCGCATATCGCTCTTCCTCTTCATCGAGATCCAAGCCCGTCCAATACCAACAAACTGATCGCTTGGTTGTTTTCGGGGTAACTGATCGCCATGCCTAGCTGCCACTCGAGGGAAGTTACACATTTTCTACCGAGCAGAAAACCCTAGGTTACATACCCCGTTGACCTTTGAGTGCTCACGGAAAACAGCCAGTCCAAGTGCATCTCTCTGAAGATGGGGCTGATCTCTCGCTTCCCAAGTGCAACTACCTCAATTTTTGCCGCCCCACCGTCACATGTCTGATTCTGGTCAATGGGCGGGAAAAGGCGAACCGAAGGCTGTTCCAGGATTGCCCGTCCTTCTTCCCCTGGCGCATGTGCCAGATCGATTGTCAAAGGAAGTTTAGGAACTGTGGTACGGACAGCAATTGAAAGCTAGCTCAGAAGACAAGAATCAGCACGCAATGCCCAGGTTGCAGCTTTGGACGCTCGGAGCTTCGGCCGGGGAGCTCGCATTCGGCGCATCGGACCCAGGCCCAGAAACCCGCGCAGTCGCTGCACATTTCCCACAGACTTTCGTGGCAGCACTTTCGGCTTGTCAGGACAGACTTCGACCTTGTCGCAACGGCGCCGCGGTTGCGAGCGCACATGAGGCCTTCAAAAAAGCCGTGCGAACAAGAGAGCGCATCTGGATTGTGTTGTTGCCTCTTGGGTCATACACGGTTGGACAGCTTTGCGCCCAAAAAGCCGCCAACATCTATAGGTTTCTAATGTTGAAACTTCTGCCCACTGGCTTGGCAGGCCCTGGCGCCATCTGAGATTGTATCTCACCAACCGAACATGAGGATTGCCCATGAAAGAAACCTGGAGGTTGCAACATGTTGTAACCCTTCGGTGGCTATGCTCAGATTGTACCCACACACACAAACCCACTCTACACCAGCAATAAACCCATCCCTAAATCAGCTGCCAGCTTGGGAAATCGACAGTAACCAAACTCGATAAGAACTCGGATCCTTTGCTTGCCTGTTCGACTTGGTCAGGTCAAAACTCTTTTTTTGCCTGAATACTCCAAAGCAGCATGCATCCTGGCATCATTGTAGATGTGATTCTCTTGCTAGGAAGAGTGATGGTTGTCAAGCAACCACTATCAAGGGATAGATTACCCGTGTGAGCAAAGCAGTCCGTTGAGTTTGCTTACGCTAAAGATCACCTGCTGACGTCCAAGCACTTGGTACACATGCTTGATTGCAGCCTATCATATGACAAGCACATGTCAGGCCACTTTCCCCTTCTGGCTTGAACATACGTGCAAACAACCCGAAGATCATCGCGCAAGATATCACCCAAGCTCTCACCCGACACACGAGCCACACATGGACATGGGAAAGATGCCGTGACTTCCCCGCTGAGATTTCGTGCGATGTCCGTTTCGAACTTCAAATGGATCGGCTTTCCTGAATGTAACCAACCGAGGCATCCGGTTTTCGTTTCACTTTCTAAAGTTGGAATTTGGGTGAATCGTGACATGTTGCCCGTTGGGCCTGTTGCCCCACGTAAGTATGGATATGACCTCAAGTGGAACATCCACTCGTTTTGCAAGGCACCTGGCTGCCGGTCGGGAGAGCCGGCCGGCCGACCCTGGCTTAGACATTTGTTTCTTAAATGGAAGATTGATTCCACAGCATTCCAACCTCGGTTGCTTCTGCTCCCCTGCTAAAAGTGAATATTTTTTTTTTGGAAAACCCATGAGTTGGCAAAAAGTTCTCAAGTCCTAACATCACTTGGCAACATGCACCAAAGAAATCGTCTCCCTTCGAGTCTCCAAAACATTGTTCCCATGTTCGGGGAGGGAGGACACCTGACCAAACGCCGAAATCCTTTATGCAAGGCCCAGCGGCAATTGCACATCGATGGCCGAACTGCCGCGATGCAAACATTTCTGACCTGCTTGGACCGTCATTTTCCAACAACTTAGCCCACAAGATCCACCTTGTTGCAGTTGGCAAACCTTTTGGGTGCAAAGGGATGGACAAATTGGAACACTGCCCATCTCTTTCTGGCTTGGGTGAATTGAACAGTATATGGTGTGTCTCTCTTTAGGCGACTCCGCAAAACTGACATTTTTCTCTTTTCCTTTTGGTTTCCCTTGACAGCCTCAAAACAGGACGCGCCACCCATCTGGGCTGCCCGATTTCTGATCCCTTGCTAAAAGTGACAAACTTTCAGCGGGTGAAATGGACATTTCCGCCAAACCCGAAAAGCTACGGCTGGGAGCCACCAAGCCATATGGTTGCCATTGATCGCACCTAGTTTGTCTTCACATGGC